TATATATATATATATATATATATATATATATAACACTTCATCCGTAAACCTGATTGTACAAAATTGTAGAATTAATATTTGAAAATATCTGAACTAAGTTTTGTGAATATCATTTTTATACTATTTGGTTGATTGATTGGCTGATTCTAATAAAAAAAATAGTTATGTCTTATCATTTTATTTTCAGTTATAGACATACATTTGAAAAATCTTTTATGAATCTGAATTCAGAGGTTTGAACATCCTGTCTCAGGGTTTCTTTCCTCCTTATAGTTATGAATAAAGATCCAAAAAGGGAGGAGGAACATATTTAGCTGATTGTTGAATGACCTTTCTTGTGGTTTCTTATTTTTCTTACAGCCTTTTTCAGGTTTTATTTCTGTTCTTACAGGTAGAGATAATGAGCCTGGAAAAGAAGGAGGAACATGGTTAGCTGTAAGTAAGACGGGTAAAGTTGGTGTTCTGTTGAACATTTTAGAAAAACCTGACACAAGTAAGAAAGGAAGAGGTATGCAAGATTAAATAAACTGATATTGTTTCATGTAACCCAGAGCTTAATGTTTTTAGATATGCATTTCATTTTTAAAAGAAAATTAATCTTTGTCATCATGCAAAAATTTTACAATTATTAAGAACAAAAGAAGTTCATTAGGAATTCTCATAACCTTAGTTATAAGTTGATGCCAATTTATTCATGCTTTTGATACTTTAAGCTGCTATTTTCAGTCCAAAGTATTTTAAAAATAAAGTGTTTTGATATTACCTAAATGTGATTTTCAGTGCAGTTGTTAGGTAAAATTCCAATATGATATCTTACTTCTGCTTACAAAAAGCCTTTTCAACTTATACTGCCCTCTATCAGCAAACATTTTCGCTCACCACTAGCCTTAATACTTCCACTTACTTCTGCATACTAATATGCAAATGATTATGCAGAAATCCTCCACCAATAGGAGTGCAACACTTCCCCTAATTTAGCTAGCACCCTCTAATCTTACAGCTGTTAATCATTTCTCGATTGGCAGTCTTATTGAATATGCCCCCAGTGGCACAGTGGTATGTCTGCAGACTTACAACTCTAGAAACCGGGTTTCGATACCCATGGTGGGCAGAGCACAGATAGCCCATTGTGTAGCTTTGTGCTTAATTACAAACAAACAAACTTATTGAATAATTTTTTCTTAATTTTACTACTTTAATTATATTGTTCTTTACTGTTTTCATTCTCTTTTGTGAAGAGTTAAGACTTGTTTTATTTATCATCTCTCCTCTTTCAATTTTGTAAACTATGCACTTGCAGTTTCACGTAGTCATGACTTCAACTGCTTCAGCAGAATTACCAGCCACGTCTAATGGGTCGGAACCATGAGTCTTGGCCCATGAAGTGATGGTTCTGGTCTGTCTGGATTTGACCAATTTCATGCAACAAACAGAGCATACCGTGTCACAGTTTTCAGTGATCAGGAAGTTTTGGATTTGGACAGCTTTTTTCCCCCTCCTGAATATGCCTCTCAGTCCCATTTCATTTCGGGGACTTGCCTAGACCCTTTTCCTCTTTGGTGCATTTGATTATTGAGGTATGTTATGTTCTGTCCTTATCTCCCATTCCTATGTTCTACCCCTGATCTTCTTGGAAACTAGCCTTTGGATCCTTATTTCATTGTTTCCTCCTTTTCTGGATATTGGGGTTCATTTGAATCATTTTGGGGTGCATTTGCATTTGGGGGTCAGTATGCTTCGACCACCACATATTGTAGATGATCATACTTTTGATTATCATTGTTCCAACTTTCTTTATTTGGACTCATAGCATTGGTGTAACTTCTTCCTTAATGAGGAACTGACCCCAGCAATTCGATTACATCTTCCTGTATTTGTCTTACTCTGACCACTCTTCTTGGGTCAGGACTGGTGGGTGCCAGACTCCTTCACTTTTGCCCATGTTTTGAGGTCCTTGGTGGTCGATCCACGGGTTCCAAAAGTCGTTTCAGTAAGTCTGGTCCTCTTCTTCCTTTCATCTCCACCATTGTCTCACAATCCTGTTTCCCTCCCCCTTCCTCGGGATCCCATTTTTTGCCAGCCTGATTTGTTCCAGGGACCTTCATTTCCACTACTCTATGGATGTATGGCTGCTTCTTGTCTCCTCACAAAATGACTTAGTCCTTTATCCTCAGTTTCTTCTCCAGAAAACTGTCACAGTGGAGCAATTTTCCTCACACCCACACAATTTTTGGTTCATCTTGGGGTGTTTTTAATTCCCTCTTCCGTTGTGCCCCATCTACTCTACCTGCAACCTATGGAATGCCTCGTATGCTGCATTTCATCCTATCCTATTGCGCGAGTGGGTTTTGAAAGACCAATGGAGCCTAGTTTGGGATCTCTTAGATGCTCCTTTTACCTTTTCCCCTCCCTTACAGACTGGTGGTTAGATCTGAACAATACTACTGCTGGTGTTCTTCTTCCTCCTCATCATTCAGAATGTCACTTTTTAAAGATGCTTTCTTTTCAGGTGGAGGGGTGTATCTCGATACTCATTAGGTTTTGAGGCTATGATATCTTTCAGAGTCCTCTCTCCATATCATTCTTGGAACTTCTTGCTGTTTGTTGGGCTTTTCTTCACTCCCTGCAGGCTTCTAGGGGCTAATTGGTGATGGTTCACCTCAATGTTTCTATGGTAGTCTTGTAAATCACCAGGCAAGGTGACTGTGACATTGAGGCTCTTCCCACCACGGTCCTGATGTACAATTTCAGATACTTCCAGGTGTTGGTTGATCAAATCCATCAATGTGTTCCTCTATGCATTGAATTACAATATCATAACACATCACAAGATAATGTTACACACACCATTGAGATGGGGTTTTCTGCAGGACTGCTCGTTGGTATCCCTTGTGGTCTGTTGCTTCATAAGAATGTGCATTCTTGGACTGTACATGAGTAAAGCAGAAAGGAATTACTGCCCATCTCTGTAGACCCGTAGCATTGAGGCTGTTCCTACTGTGCACCTGATGTACCATTACAGATGCCACCAGGTGTTGGTTGATCGACTTTGTTGACATTGATTGCTCGTCTTTTCAAAATAGGGTAACAAAATTACCCATTTCACTATTTCTGGTGCTGTGGGGTGGTGGACCATGGAGGCCTGTCCTCCTTAGAGTGCACAATATCACTCAGTTGAGAGTAGAGCTATAGCATTCTGCCGGTGTAGATTGTGTTACTCCATTTCTACAGTAGATCTGATGTATAATTCCAGATGCTGCCAGGTGTTGGATGTAGCACTCCCACATATATTGCAGTTTGCCCCTCCTACTGAGACACCCTCCATCCTATCATCTGCTGGATGTTGGCTCCCAGGAATCGAGTGTTGGTTGGAGCTTGACCAGCCACATAAGTTCTCACATGTGCCTGGATGGTACCCTCCTGGTACTACAGACTGAATGATAAATTCAAAATGCTGCCAGGTTTTCAACTGGAGATGCAACCTCAAATAGCGGTCCCTTTGGATATCAGTTTCAAGGGGATCTGGTGCTGGTTGTAGCTGGATGAGACACATGAATTCTTGCATGTGTAAGGCTGGGTATCTTCCTCCTTCTGTAGACTGGATGAAACATTCCCAATGCTGCCAGGTTTTGGACCAGAGAGGAACACCCATCTGGACTCTTCACCTTCCTACCATCTCTGGATGTTGTTTCCCAGGAGATCTGATGTTAATTATGTTGAAGGTGCACTCATGCAGAGGTGGGTTCTCCCTACTTCTGGTGTGATCTGACTTATTTCAAAGTGGTTAACAGTTGCAAGATTAGGGAGGGCATGACAGTTATGATAGGGTAGTGTTTCATTCCTATTGGTGGACGGTTGCTGCATAATCATTTGCATGTTAGTATGCAGAAATAAGTGGAAGTATCAAGACTAGTGGCAAGTGAAAATTTATGCCAAAAGAGGTCAGTATAAGTCAAGAAAGTTTATTGTGTTTGTTTGTTTGCTTGTAATTAAGCACAAAGGTTCACAATGAGCTATCTGTGCCCTGCCCACCATGGGTATTAAAATCCAGATTCTAGCATTGTAAGTCTGAATACATACTGCTGTGCCACTGGGAGGCAGCTTATTGTGAGAGGGGTGGGTGGGGGTAAGTATCTATCAGAAATACATTTTCAGTTTAGGAAAATATTAACATTTGTACTTATGTTCTTACACCACTTTGACCTAAATTTAGATATTTAGTGCAGGTTGACTTCAAAAAATGTAAGATGTAAATATCGTTTTATTAATTTATTGTGAAAACTAAAGCTCCAAGGTATACACACATCCTTTAAGTTTCAAAACACATTATACATAATTTTTAACCACTAAGTTATTGTAATTAGAAGTACCAGATTACAGAAAACAAGAATTTCTATATCTGTTTTGTAAAACTGTTATGGTATGCATTATAAGCACAATAATTTAATCTCTAACTATATATATACGTATGTGCCAGTGCATGCATTATATTGTGTTATTTTATTATTCATCTGAGTTTAGAATTGATTTTACATGTAGAACAATTGTTACAAAAGTACTATCTGATTAATAAAGTATTTAAATTTGCACCTTTGAAATTTTTCAAACTGATAGGTTTGAAAGTTGAGTATAATATAAAATACTCTGTTTTTTTTGGATTTTTGCTATTGATAAGAATAGTAGCATGAATTGATGTATTTTATATACTTTTGGTGACAGTAGTTTTCCATTTAAGAACTAAAACATTAAAGTCATGCAAGATTCTTGATTTAATAATGAATAGTTTGGTTTTGTAAATACATTATAATTTGAGTGGCATTTGTTCTTGAAAGTCACAGGTCTCATGGTTTCATCCTTTCAATCTATCACATTTCATTAGTAAACTATACCTGTGAATTTTCAAGGATATTAAGATTTATTTACTGGTTCCTCACGGAAGTAGAAAGTCAATCACAGAACTTGAAGGTTATATTTTCTGAGTAAATAGTTTTTAGAAAAATAGAAAAGTATAGAACAAATGAAACAGGAGTCAAAAGTTGACATAAATGACATAAAATGAGGCCTATATGTATGTGATTAAATTGTTTTTCAGAAATGGGTGAATATGAAACTCATACTTTATTTTAGGGCTGAAATCATGATGGACTTCTCGGAATCATGGCATAGCATCCAACGCTGAACAAGAATTGTTTTTATTCCTTGTTGCAAGTTTAGTAGTTATTAAACTCTTTAATCTGAGCCATGTCTCTCTCTCCTCAGTGTCATTGACCACTTTCAATCCTTCGATAATTTTTTGGGCAGGTCAGTAGTCACTGTCCTGGAGCTAGATCTCTGGATCCTTGTGGAGGAAGCTCTTTTGGAGTCCCAAGGTATTGAAGAAGCATTTAATTTGTTATATGATGAAATGCATGGACTAGCCTTCCTGGTCACTCTGAGATCAAAAAGCTGCAGCTTGATTCTCTTTGGTAAATCCTCTGTTCTTTCAACCACCTCTAGTTCTTTCAGTAT